TAACCTGTATGTGGGATGTGTCGATATTTTTTTTAAAATTAAAATTTTTTTCTAAGACGAATGACTTATTACTGCCTGCCAGTGTGTCTCTTTTTTGTTATCGCACGGAATCATTATTTTGCTGATTGTCATGTGTAAACGTCATTGCGCATTTATCTATCGTGCATCGGCTGCTCAGATGCAGCAAAAAGAGACTACAGAGAAAACATGTGTATGTACGTCTGCCAGATCTTACTGCCAGACTGTAATTTCACACGAATAATGTTTAATATGCTAAATTTAGGTACTCTGTTTAAAATTAATGACATTTGCCTGAACTATTAATAATTCAAGTATGCTTAACACGCGTTTTGTTTTCTCGTGCAAATATTAAATAACGTATTTTTATTCATGAAATTAGAGGATACCGGCTGTAACCAGATTTACGTGAATATGTATTTACATGAGAATATACATATATACTATCTTTAATGTATGAACTCGAACAACGCAACGTCATGCTTCGAATCCTAATTAGTCTGGAGGGATTCACAGAAATGACTTGTGCGGTCGTATCTCAATCGTGTTCGAGATTCTTCTGTTATCTCGCACGTGTTACCAAACGAAAATCCCGAGCGTGTCGCACATCGATCGCGACGATATATTTACTAATATACGCAGGCATCCACGGTTGCGTCCACGTCGATTTTGTAATGAGACCAAGAGACCGAGACCAAGACACGTGACTCGCACGCGTTCAACACAACGTCGACCTTTGGTTCATTTTTTCTATCTCTTCCATAATCCTCTCTGGATGGTTTCATCCTAATCGTAATTGATACCTGCCATATCATTTTTTTTTTCTTTTTTCATATTCACCCAATTGTATCGATTTCCTCCGCTATCACGCATATTACTCGTAACCGCGTTCAAGGCTGACCCAACCTAGAAAATTTTTGCGCGGACGCCTTGAAGATATTTTTTTCGTTCGCCCACAAGGTTCCCGATCTCTTTCGATAATTCAGGGATTTTAAAGGTATTTCAAATATGCGGATATGTATACTTCATTTTCAAGTTATAAAAGTCCTGTAACCTCCGAATGGATGTTTCACGTATGAAGACAAGTGAACTACTCTTTAATTTAGTATATTGGGAACTGGTGGGCGTCGCGACGGGCTTTTCGAATTCGGAAACATGCGGATACTACGTAAATTAGACGTGACTCTAGGTTAGATGAAGACTGTGATTGGTCTATTTCTTTATTTGAACGGAATTTGAATGTTATGTCATTTTGATGCAAAATACTTTGTAAGTGGATCTACATAAGTAAATTGATAGGAGGCGAGTTTGATTCAAGTGAGTGTTCTTAGATAATGTTTGACGATTTTAATGATTCTGACTATGCATGGAATTCAAATGAGATAACAAATTAAATAATCTTTATTGTTATGCAATGATCACGGGAACCGTGAATTCGCCTTTCTCTCAACGTAACGATTTTTCCCCCCTTTTTTTCCTTTCCTTTCAGTTCACGTATATACTTAGTTTTTCCTCTTTGACTTTTCCATGCGTCATCACGGACACACAAACCCCCATTAACTCTACAATATTATTTGCTACAGCGAAAAATTATACTCATGCCTCTGGCATGCGCGACGTTCATGCTTCTCTTTCTCAAGGACTTCGAACTGAAATTCCCCTGAGTCTTGGCTACTTTCGCTTTGCTTCGAGAAAATTCGGCTGTACTCTTCTTGCGCGTTAGTAGTAATACTTTATTTTTAGGAAATATCCTTAATTTTTATTATTGTTTCACGACAATCATAGGGTTGCTTTCGTTTGTCAGAAAATTGTTATCTAGAATCATCAATTCCCAGAAACGGCAACTGCCCGAACGCCACTTGTGTTCACGTTGCTCCCGACAACTGTCGATATAGCAGAAACCTACGTTTATCTATGCGACTATACCTACCGGGCTGTCCTGCTGCCGTAAGCGGCAGGAACACCAAGCAGCGTTTCAGCAGTTGCCGTTTCTAGCACGCGACAGTAGCCCCAACCGTAACATCAATGTTTCACTTTTGTTTTGCTGATTTCAACGTACATAACCAACCAGACGGTATTTGTTTTCGGTCCTTCATTATTATACTGTCGACGCACAAGTTATTGATATTTACCGGTAAATGGATACCGCGATGGTGGTTTTGATGCAGTCATCAAATTGCAGGTTTTTATCGCTTCAAGTTATTTGTAAACAGTACGAATTTCCAGGTTGCATATTTTCTGCAGTAGTTGCTAATCCTTGTGGCTTGATGCACGCAACACTTGTCGTTAAGGAGTTTGATTACGTGGAACTTATCTAATAACAACTTTATCGATTCAAAGGCTGCTATTGTATAACCTTACAGACAGTCGTTTAATACCACGTTATCACAGGCAGCAAGAGGAAACTGATTAATTATAATTTTTGTTTCGGTCATACAATTACCTTTATGTAAACGTATAAAATGTTCAACTCAATTCGAATAACTTACAGGGACATCTGCTTAATGCTCGGTCCACATAATTATTAGCCATTCGCAAAATCTCGGATAAACGTAACGAGAGAAAGTTTCATTTCGAAGCTAACTTTCAAGTCTGTCATCAACGCAAAGCGTGAAAAGATTGTAAATAGCGAAGAGAGAAAATATCTTAATTCGTTAATTGCGGTTATCGCTTAACTCGAAATTGAATCAATTATTGATAAGATGCAGACGATTAAAGTCTCTGAAGTTGCGCTCAGGGGGTGGGCACTGTATTTATAAAGTGTTTCATCGAAAGCCAAATGCCATCAACCTGGTTCTACAATGTACAATAGCTAGTAGTGTCAATACGTTTTAACACATGATTACATTGACGTCAAGGTGTAATTATTTAATACAAAATTGCAATCTTCATGAAATATAGATAGTATAGTAAATTCGATGATTTGCCTATACGTACAACAAAACACCATTTTCATACTACCTTGAACTAATGGCCAATTTACCAATAAAATTTATCCAGTCATTCAGTCTTATTAATGACCGAAATGCACTTTGCCTCAACTAATAGTTCCAATAACTCCCACCAATATCGTATAATGTCGAGGCGCCACTGTTTCGTTGAACTTACGATCCAAAAGGGTAATTGACATCCGTTCAAATACATTGAATTATCATATGAAATGTTTCTTTGTTTTTTCCTCTGACGTCAATACTCCAGAAAGGTTTAAGGTTGAAGGTGGAAGGTGGAAGGTGTAACGTGAACAGTTTAGAATGAGTAAATGAGGCACGTGGAAAACAGTTGAAAAACGCACAAAGGTCGCTTGTGAAATGATACAGAAAAATGGGACTTAATATTTATCAAAGTCAGGAATGATATTTGCATTGGTTTCAATTGCTTACTTTGCATACAATAACGACGATACGTACGCAGGAATAGGTACGTAAAAACTTAGCATCGCAAATTATAAAGCAATGCGTAAAGGCATTGGACCGTGGACGTTAGTATTGAAATTTGAACTCTTTTTTCCTATGGTTCGCGCGTGACTAATTATAAATTGTTGAGTGACTACTTTTTTTTTTAATTTTGTGCCGTAGCTAACGTGACTATGCGTCACGGGCGATGGAAAAGATTAAAAATATTTGCTATCTGTCAATTTCGCTCGAACACTTTTAAAATATATATTCCATTACGTCAAGCGGTCGAAAAAAAATTTAAATAAAATTATCGTCCTCCGATACCAAGTAGCGTCAAACACCAATGAGCTTTGTAATTATTTTGTCTGCTATTAGTGTTGTACGATGACAGATGATTATTTGAAATCACGTTAGGTTATCGTGACCTATACTAATTTTCTATGCTTAATTCATACGTTCGACGATTATAATGAATCCTTAAGTTGAAGCGCAATGAAGGCAGCTGAACATTTTTATTTTCTAATTTAACCTTAACCCGGGAATAGGCGCGTGGGGTGTCCGAGACACCCAGAGTCAATGCATTTCAAATGGGGAACAAAATGGCGCGACCATTCCCGGGTTAATGATGAAAATATTTCCCGATGCTCTTTCATATTATCAAGCTGCCACTATGCGCCCCGTTAATGGTTACGATGATCACGGTTGTGAATGATGACGTTAGCCACGTAGCATGACAAATGTCAAGTATGAATCGAAGATCTATTGACGTCAGAGTCATCGAGTCATCAGTACGAATAAATTTACGTAGTCTTTTCTATTTCTCGAATCTCATGCGTAGCGGTCATGTAAGTGCAAAAAAGCAAAGTGATCGCAGAACCCGTTTCTCTTAAATATGTTTGCATTATTCATTTTTTAAAGGTAATTCCACATTCATGCTATGCATACATCGACAAGGTTTACACCTGCAATAACCTCATGCCAAGTATTGCGTGCTTGATAATTTACCAAATACTCTTATAAAAGTCAAAATGTTTTTCCAGACAACGATCGTCATGATATTGCAATATTATAATATGTTTATGAAATTTGTATGCATTTAATTTTCTTAAATATTCGTATTCCCGTTACGTTTTTGCATTAATTGCAATGACAGGGTATTCCTGTAGTCAGGTATGATGCATGATAAGAACTATTGAATTATAAAATGATGAAAAAATGTGGAAGAGAAATATTTTGTTTATAATCATGAATGAAGTCACAGAGTGGGAGAGACAATTAGTTTTCATTATCGATATTGGGTGGATCGCAGTGTCGCTAAGCAATTACGCCGTGTCATAAAGAGTGAAGCGGTAAACGTCAGGTTGAATACGAAGGCCAGTTAGTGTGATATTGCAAAAAGGGGGTCAAGAAGCGTGTCGTAAAGACAAATATTTGCATGCAACAACGATATCCTCTGTTATGATGTGTCTAACGCGGGAACAAGAAACCGTCACTTGAAAAATAAATCCAATAAAAATATCCTATTGTCTTAGTTTGAATTTTTAACTGAAAAAGATTTTTTATAACCTGGTATTCCTTTCGTTTCAGAACTACCCTGCGAAGGATCGCTCGCCATGAAGAACCAGAGTTCAGCAACGCGAGCATTCTTAACAGCATGGAGCGTTTCGTACGCACCGTTAATGAAATGGAGGAAACAATCTTGGTACCAAGTCGTTTGCTGGACCTGGCCGTGGGTGATGCTGCCGACACCATTACCATGAAGGGAAAGCGTGGCGCCACCATTAAGGACACCATGGCGAACACTGATCTCTTTCGTCTGTATAACATCGTCAACAGGACGAAGGTCGAACTCCTTTGGTCCCAGGAACCCGAGGAGGACGATATCATTGCTGATATCGAAAAGGAAAAGAGGAGACCTGCCACTCTAACCCGAAGACCAAGCACTACATCCATGCAGAGCATTCACAGTGCTGCCTCCATCAGTTCAAACGCATCGACTACGTCATCCTCGTCGGTCTCGTCCTCTGCATGCGATTCGGATTCCGATACCGGAATTGAAAATGATTCTGGTCTTGAGAACGAGGAACCTAGCGACAGGCTGGCCAATATCGCTGCTGATAATTTCCGAAGACATCTCAGGGGTCTTCATCGCAGCATTGAAAGGATGACTGAAGCCGCTGCCTATCTGACACTCAGGTATCAAGCTGATGTCGGTGGGCAGGTTTGATTCTCCCGTTTTCTATCGCGTCATTTTACCCTCCTGTTAAGTTACTTCTTATTATTTTTAATATTATTATTATTAATATTGATCGTGCATTATAGACTTTCTGCTACACGAGCTTCTCGGCTTTTGGCAATGTCAGAGACTTTAGCCAAATTCTTCATTATAAGATTGCGTATTTGCGCTTTATTAGCTCATTAACGCGTGAACGCTCCTCCTGATCTTGATGCGCTATGAATAATTCTTTTTGTCTTTATTGAACTTGCCTTATCGTCATATTCTATGTGCGTGTGAATGTTTCGATTAGTGCCTGATTTAGATTGTAATGCCGTACCTCTTATTGTGCAAACTCTTGTGATGATGGTTAGTTGGTTGTTTTATCAATGCTTAATTATTCGTCGTTACTGGGACAAATATTTATGTTGAGAATTATTGAATTCGTCAATGGTATTCTATGTTCATAATGATTGGGTCTTGTTCAGAAACTTGGGTAACGTTTTCGCGTGGTCGAGGAACGTTTTCTAGTTGGAAAAAATAATTTCAATAATGGTGTTAAGAGTATACGCGAAATAATGATTGTTTCTTCAATAGATAAGTGGAATTCTTCTTGGATTGGGAAAAAAAAGTGTTTCGTGAGTGAAGGGAGAAGTTATTGCAAAAGCATGTTTGCTCGGTATAATGTTTTCTTACAAACATACGGGGTGTAATATTTCCGTTTTTGAAATGTCGTAAGGAGTTCTTATCGCCGAGGCCATGTTTGCACGCCAGCGAAATTTCATAAGACCTGAGGTCGAAATATATTTTGGATCGGACGTACTTTATGGGTTACGGTCAAAGTACATGCATTCACGTTTATCAACAGCCGTTAACTCTTTTTCTCAATTTTCATTTGTCATTTGCAGCTTGTTTCTTTTTTCATTACTTTTGTAACTCTTGCATAAAGTGCCAAGGAGTGTACAGTTGCCATTGGGAGTGTCGAACAAAAAATTAGGTATGTAGATAATTATTGTCGACAATATTGGGGATATTGAAATATTTCGATCCAATGTTATCTTCCACCTAAGGTTTGATAAATGAGATAAGTTTACTTTAAATTAGTAAGAAAAGATTGTTAAATGCATTTCTTGATTTTCATAATGGCGCATCAAGTTCTTATGTTTCACGAATGTTAGAGAGAGAAAATGAATTTCTAGAAATATCATAGACGCACGTGATATTGGAATTTTTCGAAAAATATTGCAAGACTGAAAAGAGCGTGCACGGGGAGTAGGCTTTCCGAATTTTGTTTGGAGATCAAAGATTAACTGGAAATACGAGGATGTTTTTTATGTTATGACAAAGAAAATAATATAATGAAACGTTTGAAGAAAAAAAAATAAAGAATTGCGATAGTGGAGTATACATTTTTCGAAAAATACCAAATACAAGTTAAGGACTAAGACTATTGAAGACGAGAATTGTTGAATATATTTTCGGGATAATAACATTGTACGACATCGAGCCCGGTTATTGAACAACAAGAATATAGTACTGAGAATTTTTGAAAAAACAAAATAAAAAAATAGTAAAATCCAACAATCTCTTGCATTTTTAAGATCAAGTAGTAAAATGGTCCGAATCCCAAGAATTCCAAACGTCGACCGATCCATGAAATATGTATATCGTGATTCAACCGAAAACGTTTGTCTCTTGCATCTAGTAGAATATTTAAAAAAAAAATTAAAAAAAAACGAGAAAAGCGAGTGATATTCTGTATATACGGTTCAGGTCTACGATTATTTATTTTTTATTACACTGTACTCTTAAGCGAGCAATGAATTTATATTTATAATTCTCCTTCTTCCCCACCTCACAAAACCTGAAACAATAATTCAAAGCGTACACATTTCTGCGATTTGGAACAAAAGAAAAGAAATATTCCCCAATCCACAATTACATGCCGTAGTCACTCAATTTATGTATTTTTTGTCTACTCTGTCAACTTCAAAATGTCTGCATATTCACAGTTTAGAGTGTAATCTATAAAGCAATATTATTTCACGATAAATAAGTACAACCACCGATTATCAAAATTGTTCTGTATGGTAAACTTTATTCACAATGCTTCTGATAGAAACTACGAATTAGAGCGTCAACTAAACGAACAAACAATTGTATAGAGATTTAATGCAAAATTATATTCTACTGTTGGAATTTATTGGGATACGACAGAAAAAGTAAAACTTTTCAAATCGATGACAGTTCATGTGTCCCAAAGACTCCACTGTCGTATCGCTATTTCTTTAGTAATAACAGTCATTGCGTAAGATTAATTAGAAGAAAATTTTGGAAAAACAGCAAGACACCGAAAGAATTTCTCCCTGTATATAATTTGTACATACGAATATACGTGTAATATAAATTATATAGGTGTTAATAATGATGGCTTTATATATATATATATATCTATACATTATTAACCAGTCCTACGTCACTGTCCTCAACAAACAACAAATTCCAAAATGTATCAAAATTTCGAAAAAATGACGTATTTCACGATTACTTTTCGTACATTTGACATAAAGCAATTCCAAGTCCTTTTCAATTGAACCATCATTTAAGAATGATTAGACATGATAGTTTAACAATTTATGTTAACGTGTTTTAATTAAACTTATTCCTTACGGGCATACTTTAGACATAGAGTGTGGGTCAGCAGTTTCGAAATGTTTTTTTCTTCAGTCACAAGTCACGCAACGTTCAAGAATGCAAATGAACAATTATGGAATTCTACTCGAGCATTGTGAGTCTTAAAAATTATTTTGTCTTAATACAAAATTATATTAGATACGTAAAATTGAAAAGAGAGCACGAAAAAGATATGTTATAATTATTAATACAAGTTTACAATGTTTCGAGGCATTAAAATATATATAATCCCTCCAAAAACCAGAAATAAGCGAAACTAATACGAATTAATCGTAATACGGATAAATTGAAATATTCGTCTTACCCATCAAAGAATTTGCAGGGGTTCGGTAATGAAGGATATTTAATTAAATGACAAATATGGATATATATATATATATTCACACAATTGGAATTTCTTTTCAGATTTAGTGACGTAAATCGACTTTTAATAGTTGGCCCAATAGATACCGTAATATCCGCATTCAAATCATGACTCGATACTCGTCAGGAAATTAATGATAGTACGTAATACACATTTCATTTATACCGTAGACAGCTAATGTCGTAACACATGTGTATAATTCATCGAGTTATGATGCAATGAAATTAACGTGGCAAACTGGAAATACTTTTGCGTTGAAAAGGTACAAAATTGAATATAGATTTTCGCAAATGATAAACGGTTTGTTGTATGTATGTACAAGAAATGATGCATTGTTAAATTTTGAATGATGAACAAAAGAATTTCCCAACAATGATTGTACAGCAGCATAACGTAAAATAAATTTATCATTGTCTTTTTATTTTCGTTTCTTTTCTCACAAGCGTCTTACACCATTTCACTCTCCTTAGCGAACATTTATCTTCATATTACCGACATCACTCGTTTCGTCATTATTGCCAAAACAGCGAGAATCTTGTATATTTACACACCGCATTTATCTTTATATTGCTTAAAAATCCAATAAATGGCACGTAATCACGAATTATTGTTGAGACACAAGCGTGCCTACGTAACTATAGATAGTTGGCACATGTACACAATTTGCGACATACAATTTTGAGGAAAGAGGCAAAGAAGACGTTTGACATTGTACTCGTTTTTCTTGTGGCATTATCTCAGATAAATCTTCCAGATTCTTTATGACTAAAGCTCCTCCTGAATGCTTATAGTATAGGCTCGACTATCGAATATTGATTGAGCATCAACTAATATCGACCGCCGACACAAGTTCCCTTATGTTGGCATATTCCGGATCGCTACTAAAAATTTCCAAAAGATCCTTAAACGTTGGTCGATCCTCTGGCAAGTAAGACCAGCAACTTTGCATCACCAGATATACATGCTCAGGACATTTCTCAGGCTTTTCCAAACGTTCTCCTTTTTCAACGAGCTGAATAACCTAAAATCACAATATAAAATTTATGCAAATGAATTTTAAGTTTATATAAATAAAAGAAAATTATTTTTAGGTAAGTACACCTTTAAGCACCATCGCGCTGTTATATCAGCTCTTAACCTTTTATACTAAGTGCTCCGAGTAATTGTTTTTCTATAAATATATTTAAAAAAATAATCCTTAAATGCCCATTAACGTAATAGGAATGGTAATTTGCCAATTAGAGATTCAATACAATACCTAAAATCATACGGAAACGAGTGGTACGAAAGAAGAAAAAATACTATAAATGCAAATGAAATAAAATTAAACAATGATACAAAAACTATAATAAAGAAATAGTAGAGGCAAGAGCAATCCCTCTTTTGCGTGAATTCTCACCGTTACAAAAGGAATTTATATAGCTCCTTCGTGCTGACCGAAATAAGCACTGAAAATATGAGTTGCTATTAAGGAAATGAAAAAGAAAACAAAAAAACTGGTTCCACATTAGAGGTAACAAAATTGTAACAATGGACAAAAGGATTTCTTAAAAAACTTTGGGAAACTAGATTTTATCAATGAAATAAGTGCTGAAGTAATGAAATAAGTCAGGGAACAATCTATCTTCGCCAAGATAGTATACCATAGCGATCTTAGTGGTATTACAATTAAGGTTTAAATAAACCTACGTTATTATGTGAAATAGTCATTTGCTAAAAAGTAACATTGGTATAAATACAAAAGATGGTGAATAAGCAAATCATACGAATACGGCAATCCAACGAAAAAGCTGGATTTATAAAAATATTTAAATCATTTACGCACAAGGCTTTATTATAGATGTCATCTGGGTACTTTCGATATTCCTCAACTACAGCCTCGACTTGGGTAATGCTAAACTATACTTAATTTACATTTGCACACAATACGTATTCACAGCCACTCGGTACAATTCAATTGCTTCTTTTGTAAACCGGTCTACCCTTCATACTATTCATGAAACTTCTAGTGCCTTCGATTTATACATTTTAAACTGTAATACCGTAACATGTTTTTCTGACTATATTCGAAATATTGAATAATGTAATTATTATAAACTGTAGCAATAATTAATAGTCAATTACTCACATCAACTCCACGCCTATCACCATAAGGTTGTTCACCATAGGAAAACATTTCCCACAATGTAATGCCAAAGCTCCATACGTCACTGGCATGCGAGAATGTTCCAAAATTGTAAGACTCGGGAGCATACCTTGAGAAGAGAGACAAATAAGTTTTTATTGAAACCAACATAAATAGTACAGAATCCTTGTAAAAGTGAGTTATACCATTTTATTGGCCATTTTCCACCTTGCGTAGCTCTATAATAATCATTTGATCCAAATGTTCTGGATAATCCAAAATCACTGATTTTTGCTTGATGCCTGGAAGCTAATAAAATGTTCCTGGCAGCCAAATCTCGATGCACAAGTCTCAATTCCTCTAAATACTTCATACCTTAAACCAATGAATTGGAAATTAATATTTATTATTCGTATAATACATCAGCAGTTAATTAATCGAATCCTTATAGATTATTTTACGTATGTGTAAACTATACATAGCCATCTATGTACGTGTGATATGACAAAGGTTTCATGTTCTCTCATGAGCCGTGCAGCGGGATACAATTTCATTGAGCAACTAAAAGGAATCCTTATCGAATAATGAAGATGGTCAAATTACTCACCACAGGCTATCTGGGAAGCCCAGATCTTTAGTTCATAATTGGCGCTGACTCTGTCTGGAAATTCAAGCAGATAAGCCAACATCGACCCCATTGTAATCAATTCTTGCACCTGAAAGTATTAATTTAAAATAATTATTTTCATATTATTTTATGTATGTACGGAATATCATACAATTTTAACTTGAGCGCAACCTTGAATGCACGAAATGAAAATCTTGATGTTAATCTATGTAGTGCATGCAGTATTAAGGGAGATAATAATAAATAAAACGTTCCTCTTTGTATTTACCATTAACAACGGCGGACCTTCTGAGAAACCGATTAACTTGACGATGCAGTGATGATTTAACGTCATCATAAGTCGGGCTTCCCTTAAGAAATTTTGACGAGTATCCTCATTATGCGACTCTCTTAAAGTTTTTATGGCTACGGGTTCCTGAATCCTACTAGATGACTCATAAACCCCTTCGTAAACAGCACCGAATTCTCCTTCGCCGAGAACTTCTCCCAATATGAGATTCTTTCCGAGGATAAAATCTATTTTCAAAGGTTTTAATCATGTATAACCCGGATATTCTTACTTCTGGTGATATTAAGACAGTTTACCTTGAGCTATAGTAGGTTCGTGTGTTGAATCATAAGACAATTGACCTGGTTCCGGGTTCTCATTTATGTCATCGACTGGATGTGTTGGAACCCTCATCGGAAGTGCTTCATCTTCCTTTCTTTTATTAAGAGTTTGCTTCTTTTTTGTCAGGGTGTTCTAAGAAAGGAATATATTTGATAAAATCATGCTTATAAACAAAATAATGTTTGATACGTCTTCATAATTAAACGAAATACAAACTCCATTAAAAATTGACGCTGGCATTTCCGGGATCGGAGGCCTTGGAACTGGAGCAATAGGATGATTTAATGGTCCAGGTAAACCATCGGGCATACACTGATAATGTTCCACGACATGTTCCAGAGATGAAAGATAAGGCCCATTATCGATAAATAAAAAGTCCCTCTGTACTGATAAAAAATTTTGTTACAAGCGACGAATGAAATTATAATTCCAATTAGAATGATCCAATCCATTTCAAATCATATAACATTCGCGTGCTCATTAATATTCTTTAGGAATGTCTGACCTTTTTCTGTATTTGAAAATGATAAGCTTGTCCGTGATACATGACAGTAAGCACGTAACTACCGCCATGGCGATCGCTAAATCGAACCAAGAAAGAACCATCTATATTTCCATGTTTCTGTAAAAGAGCAATGGCTTCCGAGCGATCCAGAGTTCCATGATACCAATCACTACGCTTCTCTTTTGGCGCTGGACCTTGATAGTTACCTGCGATAAATCAGTGAATTGAGAATAAATTAGGCGATGGTCGTGATCCATGAAATAATTTGATTAGAAATAGTGTTTAAGATAATACGTACGAAGCAGCTTGGCGCATTCTAAATAACCATTGCGTTTTGCCAAATCTGCTGGAACGTCATCAGCCAATGTACGTGGATTAACTGGTGCATTCATAGACAATAATACTTGAATCACTTCTTTGTGACCACGGCTGGCCGCTTCGTGCAGCGGTACCATTCCTAGAAATAATCAATAATTGTAATCTTGGTTCTTATATTGTTTTACAGAGCTCTTATGATACTTATAAAATTATTAAAAATTGTTTATGTACTATTAGTAGGTTTGGGTTCACATTTTTATATATCATAGTAATATTTGGTATAAAGACACTGGCAGCTGCTACGAATTTTAGAATTTTGATTAAAAGTTCTTGTTTATTTTAGTAGTATTTTAATAAAATGATGTTCATTAACATTGAACTACTTACCCGTTTCTGTATGTCGGGCTTGGACATTTGCTCCTCCAGAAATGAGTATGCGCACAGTGCTTGGTAAGTTACTTTGACATGCATACTGAAAAGCCAAACTTAAGATTAGTTCACAAAAATTTAGAAAAGAAAATCCTCAGATCATTGTAGCTTTATCGAATGTACCTCGTTCCTTGATAAAGCAGCATTTCAGCATAAAATTAAATATTAAGTAATTTAAATTTATTAGCTGACGTAGTTAAGAGTATTGATAAATTATAAAATTATAATTGGGTTAATTATTGTGATGCTCGTGCAAGAAAACTACTCATTAAATCTCCATTGCGATATTATAAACACTTACATGAAGCGGTGTGTAACCAGCAGAATCACGGCAATTCACGCTGGCTTTACTTTGTATCAACTTTTTGAGAATCTCATCAGCACCACCTTTAGCTGCCAAATGAACAGCAGTCTGACCTAATTGATTTTTTGCTTCCAAATTTCTATACCCACATTTTAGCAATTCGGAGACAATTGTATAGTTACGCTGAAAATATAGGTTGTAAAAGTTAACATTTTCTATTTTGCATGAAGAAATAGGAGTAAGGCAAAGGATCAAGGATTCAATACTTGAATTGTAGCACGATGTAAAAGATTTGTACACCCATGCCTACGAGTGTCATGTGGTGGTGGTTTTCCTTTACATGGTATCTTTAGTTTTGTTTCCAGAGCATGATTGTCCTCCTGATAATACTCTATCAGTGTGTCAAGGCCATGTATTGTGGTTTCATCATCTGCAAAAGTTGTATGTTTTATATTTCCAAAGTTAAGTAAAATATTACAGAGTTTATAAAAATGCATGAATTTTAAATAAAAAGCACAACATACTGAGCCATATATAAAAGTAAAAAGTATCATATCCAAAATAAGGTGAGTACCTATGGAAAAGAAAGCATCTTCCCCATGTTTTCGTATCTGATAGTGAATTACTTCTCCGTTATGAAGTACAGATAATACGTAATCTCCACATGAGGTACTGCTCTCACGAACTAAAAAAATCCCATCTTCCTGCGACTCTATAAAAACAAACGGCATTGTTTTCTTAATCCATATCATGGCAAGCAATTAAATTCCAATAAATGTCGCTCTGATCACAGGAAATGACAGAAATAAAAGATAGTTGCACTACCTTCCTTAAGTAGGTTCTCAGCACCTTCTCTTGATAATTTACCATGATACCAACAAACATTATCCTCTGAAGCCATTTTCAAGGACACGGATGTTAATTAACGTTCTTATGATCGATTCTCATGTCTTCATTTTTCATTTATCTGCAGCGCAATACATTTTAACTGTTAAAAATTAAATAATATTTGGTTCTTTGTTTACGCCCCTTAAATGGTGGATACCAAAGTTCTTATAAAACAGATTGAATCTACTGAACATCAAAGATAAAAATGACATTTATAACATTAATAATAATAATAATACTATTCCATAAACAATGCTGAAAACATAGATGGTCATCCGCAAGAAAGCAGACAGAGATGAGTGGGGAGATGCACAACGCTCCGGATTCAGGCGATACGAAAATCGTGGCGCTAAATCATAGCGGCGAGTCCGGAAGTAGGATATTGTGATCATCGCCTCCGTCGACAATACGAATCCCGTCGTAGCCAGGCTAAACGGGAACACGGACGCGTAGCTTGGCGGGCAGAGGTTCTCCGCTACTCACCGCTGTTTCCCAAAGCAACCCTTAGAACGAGCCCGGGAACAAAAGAACTTCTCAACAACTGTTGAAAAAGCCTATTGTTGAAATATTTTTACCCGACATCAATAAGTACAATACTGTGGGACATTTTTACTGCTTTTCTATTCGGCTGAATAGTATTTAAATTATTCAACGCGCTACAGCGCAAACGGACCTCCAATCGCGTCGTTCTAGTACGTGTAAAAAGACTATGGCAAGTACAGGAGTGCTGTGCATTTCTCTCACAAAAAATATTGAAATCATATTAATAATGCCAAGTACATAAGTCACTACATATCTGCTTATTACATGATCCAGCACTAGCCCACCATTTTAATTGTATTTTCAAAATTTCATATAATGTCTTCGCTATAATATAGCACATAGTATACTAGGTACTAAATAATATATTTGTAATATACGAATGAGTCAAATGTTTAGTAAATAATATTCTAGAGTCAACTATAAGCACAACCGAAATCCGAACATTGACGACTCTTTCCCAAGGCAGCGCTCGGGGGTTAGTACACGTAAGTCGGGGTGGCTGCCTGTGACGCAGGGGACGTATCGGCTTCGGGGCCTTCATTGTTCCTAGACCCATCCATCTAGTCAGTGCGTCCTTACCTACGAGACAAGTGTTTCTCTATCTCTCTCTCGCTGCGCGACTTCAGTGTGTGCTGTGTTACCTAATTCCGTTATTTCCGCTGGACAATTGCTTCTTCCGTGATATCTCTTTGCTATCACAGTCAACTCCGTAGTAAATACGTCAAGTCGGTTTGAGCGGTGGCGTGTCGTGGGTTGGCGTCGGCATTCCTTACTGCGCTCTCTAGGGGAGCGATCACGTCCGTCTGCGTTCGCTTGTGCTACTCCACGTAGCGTATAGGTGTACTTTACGTCCACCAAGTAGCTTCAATCACCTCTGTCGGAAACACTTTGCGCGCTGATCGAGGAATAACGTGATTCACCACCGGTGATGAATGTGGTTCCTTCGTCTAACCTGCCAAGAGTTTCGGCGCACGGGCGGGCAGGGACGAAGGTTTTCAGTGTAATTAAAGACCTCTAGCAGATCTTCCGACTTCGGTTGGTTTCTGGATCCTTGTGATTCGTTGCGGTCGACTCGGCTAGGGGTGATCGCGATTTTTAGTCTGGCTCCCATTTCTCGTGTTTTGTGTTTGCGACCAAAGCATCCGAAAGTGCTTAAAGTTGATCACAGATTGTGACCCTTTTAACTCCAATAGTTTTCCTCGACGCAGCAGTCCGCACACCTGTAAGACGGACCCCGCCGCCCGTTGAAGGCTGGACTTGATTGCGTGTTTCTAACCTGCAGACGATTTGATCCAAACCATTACATTG